TATATATATATATATATATATATATATATATATATATATAAAGAATAATTTTAAAAAATAATTATAAATTTATCATTATAATTTGGTTGGTGTAAATAATGAGAAATATATATATGTATATATATATATAAAGAATAATTTTAAATTTATACAATAAAGGTCAAAGGGTATTCAAGACATTTTAACCCTTTTTTTTTTTAACATATTTTTAGAAGGGTAGTAATGTCATTTTACATACAAAAGATATCTGACATACTTGAAGTATATGTAAAAAACGAATCTAACCATACATTTATAATGCGAGTGATAATTATTTTTAAAAAATAATTCAATTTAATATTTGACCAAGTTTAAAAAGGTATTGATGAAGTTAACCCCATTCATATTTATAGTAAGACTTGAAATCTCAACGCTGTATCTTCATTTTAGAGTGTGAAGGGCTCGAAACCCTTTGGTAAGTCCATCCATATCCTAGTTGATTTTTGTACTCTCATATGATCTTTTAAAATAAGGTATAATTTCCGCATGTCAATTTGAATCTCTTATTATTTTGATTTTTTTATTAGTTTCAACAGTGCTTTCTAAAATTTAAATTGGATGTAAATTGAAATTTAAATTGAATTTTTGCTATGACAATCCTCTCAAGTTAAACACGAATTTTTTTTAAAAAATAAAATTGAATCTAAACCCATTCTCTTTATTGATGATTTCATGTAGGCGATGATGAAATTTTATTTATTTATTTTTTTACTTTATCAAGTGAAACATTTTACTTAATCATTTTTTTTATGATAATATTTTAATAAATTTTTTTTCCTCTTTAATAGAGATTCATCAATAACTTAAACTTAAATCGAACTCAAAATTTTGAATGTTATAAAAAATAAAGTCGTAGAGAGTTCAAGTTAAAAGACAAAGTTAAAGAAAATAATTTAGAGTTCGACACTCAAATAATGTGTGAGTGGATGCTAATATTGTCATCATAATATTCGCTCTCATTCAAATAAAATTATTCTAATCTGTCCTATTGTCGGACTTTTATTATTTACTCAAAAATTATTTGTTTAACCAATTCGTTTGATTCATTCAAATTTGTACACCAACTTAATAATTGCAAACATAATTCATTCTTGTAACATATGAATAAATTCCAATCCTATATAGAGTAGTTCATTCTTGTAGCATACGAATTGATTCCATTCTTTGAAACAAATAATTGCATGATATACTAAAATACCTTCCCATGAATCTTGTATTGCACATGAAACGACGATTGAAGAGAGGGACCCAATTTTGTCTAATGGCTTCCCACTTTACGCCACAATTTTTGTCTTTTTTGTACTTGAAGACAAAGAAGACTAAAAGCCAAAACTTAAAAACTTAAAAAAAAAAAAAAAAAAAAAAAAAAAAAAAAAAAAAAAAAAAAAAACTGTATATTTTTTTTTTTAACATGGGATGGACCATTTCGTGCAATGCTAAGGAAAATTATTTTACTATTTTTAACTTTAGTATATATCACATGTGGGGAAACTGGAAATTAGTTATGGAGCCAAAAAGATTAATAATTGCGCATCATGTCATTGGTCACAACAGATTGGTACTTTAGACTTTGTCGTGTGTGTATTTATATACTCCATAAAATATATATACAGATTTTTTTCCCTCCTTCCCCTGACATTAATATATGAATAAAATGTAATATAATACTGGTCTACATTGTATTATTAAATTAAAATTAATATACATTGTGATTTTATCATTAAATTAAAATTAATATTCATTGTGATTTCGTTTATTGGAATGTGGCCAAAGATAGTTAATCACATGAGTCTATTCTGTTGGGTTTGTGGCTCAAAATTTGTGCGCAGAAAATTAGTTTCTTTTTTTGTTTAGGAAGTTGCAAGAAATAGTTTCCTGATTGGTTTTAGAAATTAATTTTAGAGTTGAAAATGGATATGATAATTCCTTATAAGTAAGTTGATCCTTGTCCAACAAGGAATTGAATTTGAGGAATACTTGTGTAACAAGGAATTGAGTTTTGAAAACTCTATAAATAGAGATGGGTATGAGGGGTTTAGAAAGGAAAGAGAAGAGAGAAAAGATATAAAGGGTTTAAGGGTGAGTGTTGTGAGGAGAGAGGAGAGTATATGTAATTCTTGAGTGTATACATATAATCTCAAAAGAGATGATGAGTGAGTGAGTGAGTGGGTGGGGGTTTTGACATGTGGTTGTATATTCTCTTCTTTGATTTATAATATTAAAATCTCTTCCCCATGGACCTAACCTAGAGTTAGGTGAACCATGTAAAATATTATGTTGTGCGTGAATGTGTGTGATTGTTATCTCTATATATGTTTGTATTGATGTGATTTGATAATATTTTCGTTGTGTGTGATGAACGTGGGATTTAACTCTCAACAACAATTAATCGTCGAACGAGTTAGAAGGAATTAATTATTTTCAACATATTCTTTGTAGTGTTGTAATTACATATGTTTAAAACATATTTATTATATATTTTAACACAATTAAAATATAAAATAACACGAAAGTTAAATTTATTTTAAATAATTTGTTTCTTGTTTCAATATATTTATAAATATATTAAAAATAGATGGTATGTATAACATACTACGAGAAGTTGGACTCATGTCATATATACCAAAAGTTACTTTATCTTGATCTTGTCATATTTGAATATGCTCACCGACCCAGACTTTTATCACCACCATACCAATAATGGGTGTAAAAGTCTTCCATTTCTTTAAAATCTCCACAGATTCCATTAAAACCAATCACAAAGATTACATGAGCATTTTTTATACTTCTTCTACCTTTTTCTAGTTGATTTGAGTATTTACGTTCTCTTATTAGGTAAAACTAACTCATTATCAATGTTAGATAAGTTTTTCCTCGTAATATTTTCTTCTATCCGAACTCGTAACGCTCTCATTGTGGTCGAGCCACCCTATTTATCCAGAATAATGTATCTAGATATATTCGAATTAAACGCTTAACGTGATACCGAATCAAATACTGAGTTTAGTTTAAATATCCATCTCGTTTTGATATAAGACAAGTCTTTTTTTATATTCTCTCTGTTTCATAAAGTGTCACTTTTAAAGAATCGTAACTCTTACAAATTGAACTGACATAATTTCTCAAAAACGACACTATTTTTAAAACGGAGAAAGTAATACACAGCATCTATTGCCAGTTTGCCACACCGTATGAAATCTAATTTTCATAGATAAGGTTTCACGCGTGCGATTACACCAACTAGTCTAACCAGCCATTAATTTCACAGGAAATGTATAATAAAATGAAGAAAAGTTCAAATAAATTAAGCTAGCAGCTTGATAAAAAAATTTTAAAACTTTTGTCGTGATGTATTAAAATAGTATAAATCTTTGAGGAAGCCTATAAATGTAAACCGTGCTTCATATATTTATCTTTGTAAACTAATTCGGTCCATATTCTGACTAGACTAGGTATTTATATCATGAACAATTCAATGCCACCCAAAGATTATTTACATAGACAACTGGATTATATCTTTATTTTATTATTGAATTAAGGTAATTGCTTTTTTCTATATGGAAATGATCTTGAGTTGGACTTTCTTGTTCAAGAGTTTTTTTTTTTTTTTTTAATCGTGATAAATTAGAAGACGGAGACTCAAATAGAGGTATATTCGTTCGTAAAATTGGTGCTCCATCAAATTATTGGGTAATATTTCTTACCCAAGTGTCTGCTATTATTATTCTAGAGGAAAGAAACGTTTTATAATTTTTATTTTTATTTTTATTTTTTGCCAGGGGAAGATGGACTTCAAAAAAGCAAGAAATTAAACTGTGGACATGGTTTAATTGCAATTTAATTCTAGTTTGAAGAGCTTTTTATATGGGACTAATATCATTTATGAACTTGACTATTCAAATGTGTGATCGGTACCCAAATGTTGATGGATTATGCGCTTTGAACTATTTAAACATTCGTAATTGCCAAATTAGACTTCATGTAGTTTAGAATAGCCAGAAGTCAGATGCAACAAATACTATATGTAAAAGTTACAGCCACAACAAAATGACTTGGATTTGAATTGTCCCTATCAAATAGGGGCTATTGATGCCCAGGGCATAGTGGCGTTAACAAGGGATTCGGAAAGTAAGCTATTAAGATTTTGTTTTTGAACTGTACTCCTAAGTTAAATAGTGTGTGTGTTGTTAGGTCGATATACATACTTTAAGAAAGAAAAAAAAAAAAAAAATTAATAATAAAAATAATAATAAGGACTATTGATAAACATGATTTAGAAATAATCTGAACAAAATAATAAAAATATCATTCAAGATAGAAATCCTTTTACACTTCGAATTACGAATAACGTTTTGTTACTGTCCCGCAAAATTTCAAAAAAAAATTAGGCAAAAAATTTATTCAGTACAAAATAACTTACGTAAGTATCAATACATTTGCAAAATAGTCGAGTACTACATACATGAAATTAAGAAAGTAAGCTTAAAGATTAGGCATCGAGATTCTTTCTTATAAAACGAATGTCGTACCGATATATCGACTGGTTTAACGCTTATGATACATATTATATGGAATGTGACATTGCAATGACTTGACTTCAAAAAATGTAAGAGAGTCCGGTTTTGAAAATTTAATTTTGAGAAGAAAAAAAAAAGGGTTAGTAATTTTCTTTGAACAACTAGGGATGCAGTTGCAAATTATGTCATATATTCTTTAATTAGCCACGAAAATTTGGTTGGTGGCCTACCATATAAATTATATAATCCTACAATTGATATGTGTGTGTGTGTGTGTGAGAGAGAGAGAGAGAGAGTACTTCTAATTCATCACTTACTATGACAGGTCCTAGGACTGTAAAATATGTTCCATTACTAACTAATTGAGTTTACATCTATATATATATATATATATATATATATAAAATCTGTACACACACAACAGTCTAAAAGGAGCATTCAAAATTTACAGAAGACAAAAAGATTAGCAACTCGAAAATGAATACAATTTCATATAATACAGACAGGGCATTTCCTTTCATATAATTCGGATTTGGAAAATCTGTACACACATAACACAACAATCTGACAGCACTAACATTATTGAAGACATCTAATCTTCCTTCCTTCACTATGTTTTTTTCTTGAATTGCTACTATTTCATCTTCAAATTCAGTAGCTCCATAAACAATCAAGGTTCACTGGTCCACCTGAAGTAATTGGATCCTCTTGATCATCATAAGACCTATGATGTCCCATTTCATGGTTGGACACAACTGAAGACATGTCAATACTAAATCCTGTGTCCTGTGAGAACTCTGCTCTCGAATTTTGTTTCGAGTTCAACCCATTGTTCTGGAACAATTGCTTCAATATGGACTGATCTTGAATTAGAAAAGAATCCGAATATTGAAAATATTCAAGATTTGGGATAATTTGTGTGGGAAAGAATGATGGATTAGGAACAGAGACTTTTGGAGAAAGCAATGAAACAGGGGAGGTATGATGAGTAGGTTTTGTGGATGATGAAGAGGCTAATTGAGGTGTGTTGAAGCTATCAACCATGTCTTCCTGGGACTTCTCCTCCAATGGGTTGGAGAAGCAGGTCACGTAAGATGCATCGACACCAGTGCTTCGAGTCTGGCCATCAGAAACTGAACAATCCATTAATGGAGGCAAATTTGAAGGCTTCAATTCATCATTATCACCATAATAGCTCATCCTCACCATGCCTGAAATATGTATTTTCTTCCCTCCTGAAGTCTTTTGAAACACCCTGCATATCACCCACTCATTCTGAAAAAAAACAAATGAAAGAAAACATTAATAACCTACCAATCAAGCCTGTTATTTGTACTTCAACCCTTTGAACAGAGTTTTTCAAATAGAAAACAGAGGAAAACAGAGGATGAGCTATTATTCACCTTTGATAATTTATGGTGATTATAGATGGAAAATTTGCCCTCCAATCTATATTCATGCATGACCCAATTGGTCTTTTCGCCTTTAGGAGCTCTGCCTTTGTAGAAAACCAAAGTTTTCTTCATTCCAACAAGTGCTTTTGCCTTGTAAATCTCCTTGTCTTTGCCTGTTGCCTTCCAATAACCAGCCACAGTAGCTCTATTTGTCCTTAAACCAGTAGGGTACTTCCTATCTTTCACAAAGAAAAAATACCACTCTTTTTCACCCATTTTTGCCTTCCCTAATTCATTTATAAACAAACACAAAAGTATGAGAATGAGCAAACATATATGAATGAGTTCATAGTATGATTAAAACAAGTTTGAAAAACAAAAGATACAACATTTTCACTTACATGGCAAATCCCAAGGCTCAACCTTGTTCAAGTCAACCTCTCCAATTGCTGTTGCACAGAAGGAGATGTCAAGAGCCTTTGGGGATAAGTAGTGAGTTATGAGCTCTTCGTCGGTCGGGTGGAATCGGAAACCTGGAGGCAATTCCAATCCTTCATCTTCCCCACTAAGGCATGAAATTTTTTCCATTCCTATAAATGGGTAAAATTTTGATGAACAAGATCTAAATTGATAATCAAAAAGTGAAATAGCAAAAACCCAATACTAAAAACCTCTGAATTTGAAATGGGTTGCTACTAAAGATCTAAAAAATTGACGATTGAAGTGAAGAACTGAGGAATTAACCTAGGAAGGAATCAAAAACACTAATATGTTCTTAGCCAAAAGAGAGAGAATTATGGGAGTTAATTGTGAAGTTTGAATGAATATATATGCTGAAATAAGAGAGAAGAGAAGAGAAGAGAAGAGAAGAGAAGAGACTAAATCTTCTAACAGAGAGAGGAATATGTTGTTAAGAAAAGTGAATGGTCTGTGGAACAGAACTCCCTAAATAGTGGTTCTTGGGGGAGAAAGAAACGTGCTTTGTAAGGCAACTTGGTGGGTAATTTCTGGTTTTTAGCGCTCCCTTTCACATTCCTGTAATTATCATATGCTTTCTTTCTTCTTCAATTTGACCAGGAACAACTCATCTCTACACCCTGCATGTACATGTGATAATAACTCATTTTGATTTAATTGATGTGTGTGTGTGTATATATATATATATATTTGTTGTGTACTCTTAAAGTGAACAAAATTCTATCTAGTGTCGTGTTCAGTTACGTAACAAGATGTACTATTTCACCGAAGAGGATCATAGATCACTCTCAAAATATCTCATAATTTACATGTTCAGGATGCACTGTTCCACTAAAGAGGGTCCAAGATCACTCTTAGAGTATCTTATAGTTCACTAACCGATGCAAGCAGTCAACATTCTAATTGTATCAGACAATTACCCAAATAAAAAATAAAAAATAAAAAATAAAACTCTAAAAATGACTCCAAAGTAATTCCAATTCTGATCTCCAAGAATTACTATTAGTTAAAGAGACAACTTTTCAAAAAGACTGAAGATAAATGTGTTAGTTCTCATTTGTTCAACCACAGTTATCTATTATGTCATATAAAGTAATTTAAACAAAAATTAAGAACATTGTTTTAAGCCAAAAGAGACATCTCTTGACAAACCTGTTACCAAAGCGATTAGTATTTGAATGTAAAGAAGTTTACACAAGAACTTAAATCCATTAAGTACAAAATCAGCACAAGTTTTTCCATATATTTTTCTTGGGTTTTCTTATATCAAAATGACCAATATGCCCTCGTGACCAAATTTGTCCACTACATGCGCACCACATGAACTCTTGTTTATATACAAATCATATAATAATTTACAAGAACATTGTTTTAAATATTTAAGTATGGAAAGGATGGGTTTGTTAGACCAATGGTCTAATAAAGGTTGTTGTGTGTGTAGTGTGGGAGAGAGAGAGAAAGAGAGAGAGGGAGAGATGATAATCCATGAACATGCCCCCACCTCTAATCCAAATCAACTATTGCATCAATTTTTATTACCTCAATTAGTGTTGCAAGTGAGATGATCAGTGATTCAACCATAGCAAAACAGGACAGAATAGCTTGCGTCCTTATCATTAAGTGGTTGTGTTTTTGAACTCAAGAACAAGTCAAAACTTTCCCAGTCAGCTAGAAACCCCATTATTGTACTGTACCATTCTACCTTTATCACAAGAAAGAATTATGTAATTGGTCTGTTTGTTTCCTAGGAAAAGTAAATCCACATACATTGTCTCCAAGCACCACATTATTGGATGTGGTTTACAAGTCCTTTGTCATGACTCTGTACTCAGTTATCCCATAAATCTCATAATCATGGAAAGCGACTAATCATTTTTTTAAACTATTGATGTAATTTTGGATAATATTTACAGGACAGAGGTTGAATAATTGTTCTCATAGCGTGCAAATCTTTTCCGTACACCAATGATGCTTCTTCTTTCATAGGATGTGATTGAATCACATGGTACCATGCCTCAAAGGCATGAACAATGTTTTCGATGACACAATTAAATTAATCCTATCATTAAAAAATTGACACGTACCGTGTGTTTTTATCGACACACTATTTGAACTTACCTGATGAATTCAAAATTTCTTGATTTCTACATAGTGTTCCTACTCATTTTCAAAGGTTGGTTTGTCTCCTTAGACATTTACAATTATCCGAACAAAATTCGGAAAATAACCCTAATACTGAGAAAGTCAACAATTTCATGTCGTGTCAATTGAAAAATTGAATTGGCTCATGTGAATTGCCAATTTCTAAATTTATGGTGACTTATAAAAGAAAAAGGGTCATTCCTCAATAATGGTATATTCTCAGTGACAAAATTGAATAAATATTTATTTTTGACATTATCTTATGATAACTTTTTTTTTTTCCTACTAAAGGTAAAGTAGGGTGATATGAGGACTAGTTAGTGCGGATGTATAGTGTCCTCCAAAATTGTATGCACTGATCAAATTTCAACTTTTGTTAGCACTAGAATCAATCCTCAACTTTCACTGAAATGCACCAAAACTTTATATCTCAAACACTGTCAAAATCACAAATTTCAACAAAAATGCTTGTCACACCACAAAGTTTGGCCAACTATAATTTTTGTCCTCAGTGAATAGGTAATGTCAAACATGCCTTAAGGTGGTATAAACAGAGCCACGAGTCATCAATACAATAAGATTAATCGACCAATTGTGTAATACTATCAAGAAACACGTAATTAGTTGTTCTTTATGATAAGTAATGCTTCAAAAGTACAATAAAATATGGAATTAGACAAAAATTAAAGTACTAATCAAAATAATAATTTGCTAATGTGTATTCCACATGGTGCTTTATGTAAGATTCCTTCCAATCCAGTACTATGAAAAGATTTTTTCTATCATCTAGTGGCTAGTGCTTGCTACCTAACCTTTGTGGAGTGAGATGTTCACATTCTGTAGTTGTCGTTACCTTCAAAAGACTAAAAACTCCAAAATACCCTTTGTCTTAAGCTTTTTATATATGTCAACATAACCATCTACTCATCTTCCCAAAAAAAACATAACCATCTACTACTCTCTCTCTCTCTCTCAATGAGTAATTATACATTAGTGTTGGGATCACACACTTGCAATGTTGATATTACCATTGAAAATGTGAGAATACACCGGAGAAAAAAATATGAAATTTCACTTTGTGTGAGTAAAGAGGTTACTAACACTTATATGCGTAGATGTTTTCTAAGTGTGCAAACGTGTTTTGAATATTGTGAGTACACATTATATTAAGTAAACAATATCTACACAACGAGACAGTTCAAGAGTCATGACAAATGATATTAGAATCAATCCCCAGTCAGAAATGGAACAACCAACGAGGATGTTGGATCCTAAGAAGGAATAATTAGAATTAATTCCCAACCGAAAATGGGACAGCCAACGAGGATGCTAGGAATAATCATAATTAATCCCCAACGGAAAATGGGACAGCCAATGAGGATGCTATGTCCTAAGAAGGAATAATCGTTTGGGTGAAGAGGTCGTTGACACTTATATATGTAGATGTCTCCTAAATATATAAACACATTTTAAAAATCGTGTGTGCACATAATGTGTGAAATGGACAATATTGTTTCGAAATAAAAGATGAAGGTTCAAATGGCGAGTTAAACTCTTCCCATTATATATTACTTTTATAAGGTCATGATGGTCATTTTAGGAGCACCTAATTAGAAGATCCAAAACAAGGGATATAGTAGTCATTTTATTCATAGGTTCTAAATTTTTGTTACTAGTTTGTACACATTATTAATCAATTCTTAATCCAACTCCAAAAGTAAACCTTTTTGCACGAGGACACTAATAATTAATTAGTGATTATTTACCAAGCAAGACGCGTGTTAACTATAGATTGTTTGAGGGAATTTCAATCGTTTCAGAAACTCTTATCATCGGACGGATGAGATTTGGTCTATAGTAAACAGCCACATTTGCCACCTAAGATACGAGAAAAATGAAATGGACACTGCCGCCAATGCCGACGAAATACTACTACTAATTACCACGTGAGGAGTTCTGATTGGTTGGATAGAAAATGTAATACCGAACCTACTTTTGCTAAGCTAAAACAAACAGTTGACTATAAACCCTAATTAGCAATTGTGGGTCATGTCTCCCCTCTTCCAACATGGCACCACCACGGGAACTCACACGTGGCAAAATAGGATTCGTGGACAAGTGTAATTGGTATTATGTTTGACATGATTAACCAAAAGTTAGGCAACCCCATTTAAATATAATATAATTAATATATACATATGTGTGTAGAATGCAGATATGGTTATAGTCAGCTATGTTGAAGCCTAAACCAGAGAAATATATATATATATATATATAATGAGAAGTCGCTCTAAAGCTATAAAGTAAACTTCGAATATGTATAATTATTTACAAAACATATTATTTAAAGTATTATGTTTTTGCGTGATGTGAAAGTAAAACATCTACGGTCCAAGTTTATGGACCGTCCCAAAAAGCTCATTCCTAAAACAAATCATTGTTATTTACACATTTGAAAATGATAATGATTTCAAGTATTCAAACCTCAAATTGAACACTGATCGTCACTCCTTTACATTTTTCTTAAAAGCTGGTTAAAGAAAATTTGGAAAAATGGCAAGGATCGATATTTGAACCAGTATTTAGTAGTGAAAGAATTGTTTACAACTTGTAAATATTAGTTTTTTTCTTTTTCTTTTTTTTCATAAATATTAGGTTTTTTCTTCTTATTCCTAGTCGATCAGTAAATATTAGTTTTAGATCAAAACAGCAGATTAAGTTTTTTAGCCAATCACTTTTTTAAGATTAACAAATCCATTTTAACTTTTTGAGTCTAGGTTAATCAATTAATATTAATGCAAATAATTAATGTGCAATGTGATCGAACATGCAAATACCTAACTTAATAGGCAAGGAAATAATACGTTTAATGTGATTATATATCTTTGTATTAGCTAGGTTCATGTTTATGATTGATCAAAAATTAGGAAATTAGGTAACAATGGATATTGAAAAAGTTTGTGTTTCAGATTCAGTGTTCATATATATATATATATATATAATCATTGATTGATTGAGGCCAAGATTTTTTTGTTGATTCCGACTTAGGGAACATGATTCAAAGAACCTCTTCAAATAATGGTCTGAATTTCTGGTAACAAAAACATGAAGGTAAGAGATAAGGTTGAAATGTGTCTAAACAGAAGGTAAGAGATAAGGTTGAAATGTGTCTAAACAAAAATGGCAAGATGCTTTTTTTTATTATTTTTGTTTTCATACTAAAACTTGGGTAACTAAGTATCCTCTTTACAAGTGTGAATAGATATGAGAGAGATCATTATAATATATATTTAATTATTTCCATTATAAAAAAAAATTCATATATATCTGGCTGGATGTTGTACCACTGTTATCAAAGTCAATGGAAACACTGTATCTTTGAAGAATGAAGGATAATATCTTTGCAAGATTATATATATATATAATGGTTTGTTTATATTTTAGACAATTTAATTATATATATTTCTTGTTCTTTAAGATGTCATGTCATGCATAAGCCTAAGAACTTTAGGAGGTGGTAGATCCTGGTTGGTTTATTCTATAACAACCAAGGATTATACCAGCATCCCTAATCACTTTAATAATCATTCATTTATTTTTATTTAATTTCAATGTGTTTAGCAAGAGCAAGTCAGTCCTGAATCGACACTGTTCAATCAATATATCAACTTCAAGTAGAATTTTTTTTAGAAAAAGAATCAATAATATATGGTCAGTTGTTGTGTTACTAATTGATTGATTTGAACACCTATCTTCTACTTGAGACTTTAGAGAGAGAGAGAGAGAGAGAGTTGATAAATCAATTATTAGAATGGACAAGCGAGTTTACAGGTTTAACTTTAAACATGGAAACTTATAGTGGATAAATTACATTAATCTCCTCGACTTGACTTGAGGTTTGGACAAATAACATATCCATTCAACCTTTATTATTTTGACTTTCTCTGAAATTTAGATGTGTGATCAACAGATTTAGAAAATGTTAAAGTAATAATGAATAGTATCCGTGTGTAATTTATCCAAATATAGAAGGTAATTAGTATAAAATACCCATTTGCCATCATTACCAATAATAATAATGATGATGATGAAAATAAAAAATAAAAATTGTGGGTACTCAAATATGTCAAAGAACCATAATGGTTTTTTTTGGTGTGAAAAAAAAAAAAAAAAAAAAAAAAAAAAAAAAAAAAAAAAAAACCCACAGATGTTGGGAGGGATAATAAAGTGAAAATTTGACTTTAGGAATTTTATATGCTTAGAATGGAACCATGCATGTTGTTAAAAACTTTTATATATTTATATATATATTAATCACCTTTAATTTCAATGTTTTTTCAGTTGACTGTGACTTTGCATATCAAAATCTAAAACTAGACAATAGTGCTTTCTGTCTTCTTAAATTGAGGTAACCAAATTTGTGTTTGCAAACTTAAGACACCAGCTAACATATATATATATATATATATATTCAAATTAAAGATAAAGTTTCAAGTCCATAATTTCAACTGCAGTTTGGAAATTTATATTTATATATAACTGCATACCTATATTCACATTGGTGAAATATGGTATAAATTCGGCCAACAATATATATCAACACTTTGATTATTGGCAAGGTTTGCTGGAAAATGTCAATGAAAGATCATTTTCTCCCTTGAAATTAATTGAAGACTATGTCCAAAAAGTAAAAAATAAAAAATAAAAAAAGGCCAATCAATTGAAGTACTGCGCACGTGCATGATATGTTTTTCTTTGACTTTAAAGTGTAAACATTGATTTGATCAATTGTTTTAGGGACGTGAAAAGACTTTGTAGAGTATGAAAAATATGCTACCACCAAGGTCCAAAGTTGAACTCTATATCCATTAAATTTAAATCTTTGAGTGCTTTACTACTTTGCATATATAATTATCTCATGTATTATAATACATTGAGATTGAGACGACATTTATCTAACATATGGACAACTTTTTTCACATGTACAATATATTGTAATGAATATGAATCTGATTTGATACTGCGAAGGGTATGAATTTGATTTTCAAAAGGCACCTTATCTCGGCAACGAAGTTACTGATATCTGGGAGTCGGACCGTTTTTGATAAAATTGGATTTTCGTGGAAATCATCCAATAAAAATTGATCAGCCCTCCCGTTTGACCTTTTAACAGTCCAAACGGATTTTAAAATCTAGTCCTGCAACACCTTGCTAAAACATTCCTAGAGACTTTAGTTTGCGAATCGACATGATTTATTTATTTATTTGGTCCAACACTGATAATTAAGATCAAGTCACAAAATTTCTAGCATCTATATATTATTCAAAGAAAATGTCGAATCTAGCTAAGATTTGGTCAGTCTACTTAGAAGCTCATGAAATGATAAATTAAAACCAATTAAGATGATGTGATTTGTTATTAAATATTTGTTGGGGGAGAAATCTCTGAAGAGTAGAACCAAATCAAACCTTGTTTTCAGAAGGAAAGGATTTGTCAATACTTTCATGTTTAACAATTAATGACTATTTATTAAAGTTGAATATGAAACCAAATCAAGATTTCGACTTACCAAAAGGTGTCAATAATAGAATATCGAGATCATTATTATACATTATCATGTAGTGCTAAGAAGCTCATTTCTCTTTTTCTCCTTGTTGATCTAGTATTTTATTCACAATCCCATTCATATGAGATAAAGACGATGATGATGCAGTATTGTATTCCATGATGCAGTATTGTGAGATAATTACATAAGAAGGCTAAGGTTATTGATGTAAGCCATGAGCACTAGGAGTGACTAATTCAGAATATTTCTCTGTGGTCTAAGGTAAATTAATGTACCCATCAAGTATTACACGTTCCTAAGGAAATATAAGAATATTTTTAATACTAACATTTGCTTTCTTTAATCTTATCAAATATGATTCTATAACATTGCTTTTTGTGTCAAGCATCCCAAATGATTTATATCTTACTTAATTTGTGTGGATCACCATAAAGTGTTGATCATCATTGAATAATGATGAAGATGATGATACTTGGAAAAGATAGTTTAATAGAAGTTGGATGGGGATGTAACTGTAAAGAAAATTGTGTGGATAGGGACAACACAATTTAATAAAGTGGTGAAGCAAAGAGACACAAGTATTGAGAAAGGAGCTATTATAAAATAGCTAGGATTTTGTGTTTCGTGTTCGATTTATATATTTAAATTCCCTATTTAATTAGAATTCACATGAGTTCGGATGATATGATCTCTCATTCTCTCTTCTTTAAAAGAGAAAGTTGAGTGTTCGAAAAACAATTATTAACACCGACTTCATATTAGTAATATATACATAATAGTAATACTCTTAGATTTGTGCTGGTTTAGGGCATGTTTGGATGTTGTATAATCTTTATAGGAAATGACAGGCTCGCCAGTTTTAGTCATCATTTTGAATAAGATCTTTACAGAAAAGTGAGTCAATTGACAATGTTCTGAAAAATGGTGTTGGTAAGGACTCTTAAAAATGGTGATGTTTGGCCAAATATTTGTGTCTTCAACAACTATCATAATTTATAATTAAACAATCTTTGGATCATTTGGTTTATGTCACATTGAATCAAGGTCAAAGCACCAGGATTACAAAATCATATTATACCATGCAAGAGTATAATACAGAGAAAACAGAGAATACAATATCTCCAGTGAAATTGCAATTGAAATCCAACATATTCACTGCAATCTAAACACAGACAAAAACCAGATAGCATAAGAAACACACATTTAGATCATATCAAGCCCAAACAAACACACATGAATCCCAATTCAAAGGGAAATGAAAGATCAACACGAATATCAACGTCGAGAAAGAGCAACAGCAGACAACAATATCAGCAGCATAAGCACAAGAACTCCTGCAAATGACCCAATCAAAGAGCCAGAGATGCGTTCGCAGAAGGAGTTGAATTGCTGGCAGATCGCGAACCAGTTTGCCTTGGCATTGCCCTTGTGTGCTAAGTACACAATAGATGCTGCTGCAGAAGCTCCAGCAGTCAAAAGTGCCAGCATTGCCTTAACAAGGAACTCAATTTCATTAGACAACTTGGTAACACCATACATAGACAAATTCTTGGAGTACCTAAATAATAATATGGAGTATGAAAGTCGGACTGATTTATGCAAGTGAGAGCTAACATCATCATGATGTCATTAATATTCTTGATGTCATGATAACATCAACATTTACTTACATATGTGTCCGACTATCATACTCTATATCATTATTCAAACTAAAAACTTTTAATTTTATGCAATAGACATAACTTTAGCTACACATTAAATAATGTGCACACTACTGACTTGATCTCTAAACAGAATTACCGTATCAAAGAAGATCAAGATTATCCTACTGCCGTTTGCATTGCTCCTTGCGATGTGGAAGATGGATAGAGCCAGAGAAAGAACCAGATAGGAACATACAATTGAATTTGCAACCACAAAGAACCTGTTATAAAACACATTAGTGCTAAACAGTAAGGGACAGCTTTATGATAATTTATTCAATGAGCATGAACACTTACGTGAACATTGGGAGATCGTCATACTTAGCCCTAAACTGAGTGAACTGTGTGAAAAAGGGAAGTGTTTGATCAGTTGTTCCCATGGCAATTGCACTTCCTAGGGTTCCGATAATGGCAATGAGTCTCAAAATGAAGTCTAGAACAGAGACACCTCTGTTCACCGTGCTTTTCAGAGTGGAATCCTTGGAGGCCTCACCAAGCTCCAGAGCACCAGCCTTCATCTTCTTAAAGAAATGGTTATGGAGTTCTAGGGTTTACAAAGGGTTTAAAAAAATGCTTGGTAATGAAGTAGTGCTTGGAAGATGAGAGTGGCATGTAAATTTATACATGTTTAGATGAAGGCAAAGTCAGTCCCGGTGTATGTGCATGGTAGGCATTAGCAGGGGCGGAGCCAGGATTGCAGAGTGGATTGGGGGCTAAGAGGAAGAGTAATATTGCATAAGAATCAGACTAAGAACTGATGTACAATATTACTAAAAAAAAAATTAGACCTTGACTATAGTCCGAATTAGCCCTTCAGTAACTCCGTGCTAAGTTCGGTAATCTTTGGTGGCAATGTCATGATGTGGCAGGTATATAAAATGTACTCACTAAAGCTTGTTTAGGGCTTCTTTTAAGCACTACCAGCCAATCACTTGCTCTCTCATTTGGATGAAATTGTGGACCTAGTATGATCCATTACATGTTCCAAATCCACCAAAACTTTACCTATTTTGGTAATTGTGACAGGTGGACCCATTTTTCCACCATGCAGGGAGTTGTAATATGGGTTGGTTGAGATAAGGCACCAATTTTTAAGAACACATGAAGGTTGGGTAGTTGAATAATTTTGCTTTTATCTCATTAACCAATCCAATTTGATCCCTTATTCATGTGACATCATGGAACAGAAAATTCAAGTTCACCTCTTTTTTTTTTTTTTCTTTTTTGTGTGTGTGTGTTTTTTTGGGGTCAAATTCAATTCATTGACAGAAGGCTCCTAAAATACTCTGACATTAGGGTATTAAGCAAGTACCAGTGGGTGGGATTTAAGAAATTTGCTTGACCTTAATCTACAAGCTCCACGAAAACAGTGCAATGTAGGTCATTAGTCCATTTGATCATGGGTGAGAGCGACATGAATGAAAACTCTCTCTGAGTTTTTTTTTTAGAAATCATGACTAAATTTTTTTATAAATAAATCGATTTTATAGACGAGCCAAATAAATTGATTTCATGTAAAAGTGATCGTGTTTCTATTCAAAATCCTCTTCTTCTTTTTATAAAAACCTTGTGAATTCATTTGTTTGGACGAGAACTTGGACAAGAGCGGATCCTCAAATTGTCAAGGAGTGGACTAATTTTACAAATTACTAAAAATCACTGTGGCCCTGGCCAAAAAGTCAAGGGGCATAATGCAAGTGTAGTTCAAAATCACTTGCTAGTCAGGCCAGACTAGGTATGTCAATTTATTCTGTGGCCCAACAAGTATCCGCTCATACAATTACAAATGAATTGAGTTTTTCAAGAACAATTCAAACTCAGCTCGTTAAAAGTTTAATTCGGACTCATTCATTTGGATTGAATCGATTCTAAATTGGTTTAAACACATTGGTAATGGGGCATATTAGGCCAACATGGGCTATAGACTTGTAGTAGTGAGTTTGTCATAGGCCCAAATCAAGGTTCATATGTACTAGTCAAAGTTAGTTCAGTTATGAACTTTAACAAAAATGAAACTCCAATCCAAACAACCCAGATGTGAAACTTACATTCAGACAATAATTTAAAGATAATAATACAAGTTGGTCCACCAACATAAATAAAATATTCAAATTAATCTCCTCCAAGGGTTGACTTTTTGCTTTGTGAGCTCTAAAAATAGTGTTTTTTTTTTTCAAGCTTCACAGGCTGAGTTTGCTGAGGAAACAGAGATCTCCAAAAGGGTTGACTTTTTGCTTTGTGAGCTCTAAAAATAGGGTTTTTTTTTTTCAAGCTTCACAGGCTGAGTTTGCTGAGGAAACAGAGATCTCCAAAAGGGTTGACTTTTTGCTTTGTGAGCTCTAAAAATAGGGTTTTTTTTTTCAAGCTTCACAGGCTGAGTTTGCTGAGGAAACAGAGATCTCCAAAAGGGTGAAGAAATGAACCAGAAGTTGATTGCTCTGCTTATTGGAGTTGTTGGTGCAGTCATCACCTTATCTGCTTACACACAAACTCTCATGTCTCCCACAAATTGTATCACAGTTGGCCTCCTTGTGCTGGTGTTAGGTCTCCTTGTCAGGGAAGGTCTAATCCCTATCTAGCTTTTTTGCTACTCTTTAATGATCACTTTTATTGTATTAGTACTTTTTTTTTTTTGTTTAAATCGACATGTTTGGTTCTGTATTGCTTATGAGATTTATGTAATTTGGTATTTTTTTGTTTTCTGAGTTTTTACTGCTTTGTGTTTTGTGAGTTTCAAGCATCAACACTTTTTGTGTTCTGATCTGATTTTCTTGTTGGGAACATGGAAATGAGAAACTTAGATGTATATGTTAAACAGGTATCCGTACCAATAATAATACTAGTATCCCGCCCATATGATAACTTATACACTAGTTCTTTTTTTATCTATTATCCAGGAAAGTGGAGAGTGTTTATTGAAATATATATTTTTTTAAGAATCATTCATGTTCTGTTACAACTTACACATGGATTCGGATACGGATACATATGTCAGACATGGGTATATATCCATGAATTGAGCGTGTCAAATTTCTAAACAGTGTCAAATTTCTAAACAGAAAGACACACGAACACAGCTAAATATTTATTTTATTAATTATTTTTTTTTAGAGTAAAGTAATATAATGTTCAGTATAAATATTTAATTCATTTTAAAGTAATAATATAATGTAAGTGAATAATTGGATATACCAACGAAGCAGTGACCTAGGCATATTATCTTGGAAAAGTATGAAAAATAATAATAATAATTGGATATGTTTTTTTTTAAGTACGTGTTCAACAAAAAGTGTTTCGAACACACATCTTATACCCAAATTTAAAAGATACGTGTCCGATATGAGTACTTTACCACTTTGAAGAGTCCACGTAACGAGTTTATCTTATATTCCTTTTTCTTTTTTAAATCTCTATGAGATCTCATGCTAGCACTATTGCAGTACTGAATTACATAATTCATAGTAGGAAAGCAAGGAACTTATACTCTCTAAACAAGTTTAGAGGGATGGAATTGATGGAAGAAAAATAAATAAATAAATAAGCAAAAAAAAAAAAGAAGTAATGCCTATTTTATTACTGACATTAAAATATCTAATTTTCTAACCAGAACTGTTATGTTGAGGAATCGGATGGTACAGACTCAACCTGCCAAAGCATGCATCATCTGAATCACTTAATGGAGTAGTATATCTGCAAAAACACAATGAATATTAAAGTACATAAAGAAGGTTAAACAAGAAAATTAAAATAAATTTACCAAAAAACACCAAAAAATTAAAATTAAATTACATTGACACTTCCATGCAAAATACATATTGTTGGCTGCTTATCAACATTACCATATAAGCATTGACCATCAACCATGTCTATTCATCTTTACCACCATCATCACCGTAAATCTGGCATGAGAGTACGAGGCAAAAATGTAGCCAAAAATAACTTGCCGATCAACTTATTGAATTATTAATAAACATATTGCCGGCAAGTCATCCTTGGCTACACCTCGTAACCTCGTGCCCACATGCAAGACATGAGATGAATAAGAGCGTCCCCATTGGCCATAACCTAGCACTATTTCCTATCTTATAAATAAGAAAATAAAAGATTTAAGTCTTTGTAGAAGCAAAATAAAAAATAAATCAATCCTTGCAAGCATCAAAACATGAGTGTATGATGTATCAGACTCTTCTTCTTGATTTTTCTTTTATTTTTTCCCTGTTTTCGAAAATACAAATTAAAAGAATAGGGCTAAACTCAAATTTCCCCAAAAGGAGGAACAAAACATTCTTATTGAGTGAAAAAAACAAACATTTCCCTTTTGGAACTAACAAAAAACAAACATTTTCCCACAGAGAGTGTCTGCGAAACCAAGTAGAGAAGGAGAATGAGATTGGACAACAACACACACATGACAGGGGTTTGGACGAATGAGGATTGAAGCAACAAAGAGGCTCTTGGAGTTATTTAAAAAGAGTTTTGATTGGTTAGAAATTTTAATATTATTTAATGATGCTGTGGGTGTGTTCAGATGGGACAGCTTTAGAACTGTCGAAACCATGTCCTTGTCCAATGGGTAATGGATAAAAGGGTAAAGTGCAATAAATCCCCTTGATTTATATATGTCTCCCAAAAATCCCCCTAAACTTTTATTTTTTTAAGTAAACCCCCTAACTTATCCCACTTTTTTGCAAAAAAACACACGATGTCACTGTTCAGTCCAAATTTTTCGGTTAAATAGGCACTGTAATTTAAATATGACAATATTACCCTTACAGGGTTAAATCAATAAAAACCCCAATTGGCTAACCCTAACTCTAATTAGCCTCATCCCAACCAAATCGCATCTCTCTCTGGTAGTCGATTGGGTAAAAATTGTTTGAGAGAAGATTTTTGCTTGATTGGTTGACGTTATGGTGGCGTGCCTTTAAAAAAATTGATGGTTTAATTGGTTCGGCGATGATGGTGGTGGCAGCAGTGAGTTTGTAGGGTTCGATTGAGTAATTTAGTTTTCAATACGATGGAGTGCTTGTGAAAGACTATGGCGGTAGTGATGGTGGCAATGGCGGGATTGCGGCGGAGATGGTGGTGGGAAGAGAGAGTGGGACGGTGGGCATTGACAGCCGGATATGGATTCCGGCGAATGGCTACAATCTCTTCTCCGACGCCATGGATGATCCAGATGAAGATATGTATGCATAGATTGATTGGGCTTTGAAGCAAGCAGGAAGCTTGGTCCGTGATTGTAGTAAAATTGGAGATGATTGGCCACTTTAAAGATGTTCCTCTTCACATCATGGCGGTGTTGGTTTGGGCTTGCTGCTGATCTCTGCAACCTCTCCTTTGGCCGTAGTTGTCGTCATCTCCTCCGACTGCGGCGACGGCATTCTGGGCATGGCGGCGGCGGCATGTAATTAGCGTTTGTCACACTCTAGTTGGATTTTTTTTGTAAGGGTAATTTGGTAATCTTGCATCTCTGGTTACCTCTCTTATCGGCAATTTTTTATTGTGTCCTCAATTTGCACTTTTTAAATAATTCAGAAGGTAATATTTAGTTTAGGTGGGTCTTGTGCTATTAGCTGATAGTTTAAAGGGGTGTATTGCACTTTACGCTAAATAGAATTGTGTAATTTTAAGTGTTTCATTGGGGAGCTATATTGGATCATGGATGTGACCTTGCATTGGCGCCAAAACCAATACGAAACCCTAACCCTAAAGATCTCTCAACATCATCTTAGCTCAGACTTTGGCTTCTGATGTCTCTTAAAAGACAATTAAGAAGACACCTGTCACAATTCAGACTTCCTGGTCAGTCTTGGTGACCCTCTTCAACTTGTACTCTTTTAGATTCACATTTAAATTAGTCTTTTTCGATTTTAATTTCTTCATCCTCTAATATGCAACATTATTTCAATTGGACAAAGCTTTGCTAAGTAAGCTTCTGGCAAAATTCAGTTGCACCAGTGTTATTGCAAAATTTGAGAATGTTACACTTGCACAATCTTATCTCTGTATGTTGAGAGACATTTGATACATGATCACACATGCCACATAGTTTCTATTAGGTGAGTTGAGTAAAATCTACTAAATGTGATTAATAACTCAATTTATATTATTAATTTAGCTAAATTTTAAGCTTTGTCCCTGATAAATGGTAACACGGACAAATGTATTCTTATGAATCTTATGATGAGAAATCTCTCTCTCTCAACTTCCATGACAAACAATTTTTGATTTCTAAACATGAATTTAAATTCAAATTGCATAACATTAAATAAAACAGACGTATAAATTAATGGTTTTTTATTAATCTTGCCTAGTTTAATAGCTAATTTAGCCAGAAGTTTGCTCGAGTATGACCAGTGTACGTTTTAGCAGTTTTCAGCGGAATATGTGATTACAAAAACTTGAATATCTCTGAATCCGCTGTTCGATTTCGGCTATGCAATCACTTTCAGCTGCAAAAAGTGGTGGGTGCAAGCTTGGACTGTCAAATCCATGACACTTCGAATTTACTTTTACTTTCACCATCATAAAAACGTGGGTAAAACTGCGAGGGATTAGCGCCTACTCTCTGTTTTAAACAAACCAACCGTCTGAAAATATATATATATATATAGATACAAAAACAATCACCTACAAATCATACATAAGCTCAAAGATGAACTTTGGATATATACAATCCAATATATATATATATAACTTTTGATCTATGTTGTTATTATTTGCAATGGTCTCTGTTATTTGTTCAAGGTAACCTTTGAAACAATTCATTAGTACATGGAAACTAATAAATTGTTTCAAAGGTACCCCTACCAATATAGCACTTTTCTTTTCTTTTTTTTGATAAGATTTTTTTATAAAAAACACTCAAAAGGAGAGCGAATTCCAAAAAAACAACAGGCCACAAAACACGGGCCAAAAAAATTAACAATCTCCTCTACCGATTGAAAATCTACCCGAGACCCAACAAAAAACAATATAGCACCTTTCTTATTTCAAATGATTTTGTTCAATAATGATATTTGAAGAAACCCAGAAAATTGTTCATGTTGACAATATCCATACTAAAATATAAAAATGATAGTGTATTCAAAAAATAGCTTTATTACCTACATAGCCAAAATGCAACAATATAACCCACAAATGAAAAATCAACACGTTTCATTTTGATGATCATGATAAATCAACATGCTTCATTATAACAATTGAATTCTTCTTACAATGAAACATATTTTGCTTGCAGTACCATGCTTACATGCTACAAGTCGCATGTCACCTAGTCCATTAACCAAGTTGCAACACTTCACAGAGGAACCCAAAAATAACACAATCTAGACAGACATTAGCACACGCAGAGAGAGAGAGAGAGAGAGAATTTTGCATATAAATTTTTGAGGGAGATAACACACCCTATAAAGAGAAGCAGATAAACTAATCAGGCTTGTTCACTCTCACCCACGTAAGCAGACTCACCTGCTTAGAATGTTATATTACCTGTTGTATTATTGAGGAATTTCATCGAACCTGACAATTAATGGCAAAGAAGGCATAAATAGTGCATGTTGCATCAGCATGAAAACCTCGCATGTAATAGATACATAATGTAGAATAAACCTACCAACAAAACTCGGTGTCGAGCCCCAACAATTACAGGCACCCTCCAAGTCGCCACAGAAACTAGTTACATGCGTGTGCATAATTAGGTCCATAAGAATAAAACAATGCTGATGAGATTATGCAGGATTTCATATAATAAACGATGGAAATCATGACCAACCTCAAACAGATGTGCCAATGCAGCTCCCTATAAGAAGTATGGGACATCATACCTGCTTTAGTTGTGAGCTCCCCGTATGCAAATATTTGGTAGATATCTAACTTTATTAAATAATATTAAAAAATTGTTGATCAAAAAGGCAAAGGCATTAGTCATTCACCATTTGAGCTCAACTGGCCATTTAACCAAACCACCATAATCAAGCCAACAAAACAGTAACCCACGGCCTTTTTCTTTTTCTGAAGATTACATATCTGTACAGCAGAATCTATAAGCAAATCTCACTACTACACTGCATGAGCACAAGGTCAGATTTTGAGGCAAATACCAAACTCAGCAACTGAAAATAGAGAGAACAAATTAAACGCATAATTAAAATAAGGGAAGCTACTCATGCAATTTAGATAACACGACTTCTGCCACTATATAGTCTAACAGACAGATTTCAAGGTGCTAAATTCCACATAATAGATTGAAGCACGCATCTGAGAACTGTTAAACATAATAAACTCATCATCCTAATACAACTGGTAGAGGAAGGAAACAACATGAACAAAGGCATGCTGGCTACAAAGGTTCTTGGAAGCACAAAGATATAGAAGCTTGGTGCATGTGGTGTCAGGACATGGCAAGTTTCAATAGTATGACCTTCAGCTATTGGTCCTCCTAAATAAAAGCATCAAGGTGGGCCATGAGTTTTCCAAACCCTGTTTCATCTGGTCTTCTGGTTTAGGCGGGAGGCTTCATCAAAATGGACAGTGGGCTGGCTTCAGGCTTCAAAGATCTCAGCTGTTTTTATGGGAAGGGAAAGGAAACAAAGGGAAAACAAGAGCATCAGAATTTCATATATGGGAGAGATGGGCTAGGTTACACTACCATACTGTCATGAACTAGTAAGTGGTATATAACTAAGAATATGTAACCAACTAAATCGGAGACAAACAATTATGTCAAGGAAACCAAACTCTACCTGCAGGTCTCATCATCAAACTCTAGTAACCATAATTTCTACGTCGGGAAACGTGGTTCTGCCCAGATAACCTGGTAACAGAAGCTAAAGGTCAGGGACGAGATGAGTGTAAATCAACAAAGACGATAAAAGATGACAAAAGAATAATAACAATCAAAAAACAAAATTAGAAACTTCCCTTTCTATGTCTGATAAGACGACCTCTATGAACATGCATAATGGGGAGGCGGAAGACATTTCAAGTTCATAAAAATGTCTAACTAATTGGGGTGGCTGTCAACTGAACACAACCTCCTTCAATTAAAATTTGAACTGATTTTTTCACGTCTCATGTGACTCTTTTTTAAAAAGTTTCAACGATCATATTTATGAAGTTCAACTATAGGCACATCACTGGCTTTCAACCTAACGGAACCCTCGTCCGAGATGGAAAAAGGTGACCGAGTAAAATGACCAAAAAAATCCACGAACAGAGCACACGCAGGAACCTATAGGAAATTCTTACCCAGAACTTCCAGTTCGTCCTGAAGAATAGCCACCATAGCCTCCATAACCACCACTACCACTACTGCCACTCTGCAAATGACATTAAAATTATGATTGTACAAAAATAACATACAATAAGAAATCAGGTTCACACGCATGTAACTGAGCACAAACAATGGTACTGTCAGAAGGTGCATACGGGATATAGCAAGAATACAAGACAAAACTAAGGATAAAAAGAAAAATTCCTTGTGAAATGTGAAAATATAAGCAAAAACACAATTTTTTTCTTCCATGTTCTATTTAGAAGATAACTGTATATAAAGAGAAATACAAAATAAATTACCTGCAAACCACCATAACCTCCATAGTCATCACCAGCAGGCAAATCACTTGAACCACCATATCTACCAGAATAAGAATGCCCACGTCCATATCTTTTACCATCTCCAATTTCATATTTTAAAACATCTGAGTTATCAGATGACATGGGAAGATACGGAAGAACAGGAACAAATGAAGATACAGCACCCTCCCTGTCAAAAAGGTTTGCCCTTAACCGAGTAGTTACTTGCATTAGAGCATCCTTAGCAACATCAAGTTCTCCAGCAATCTAATAAATATGGAAGAAAAAAAATCACTAACATTTTCCATATGATATCAACACAGTTGAGACTGCACAAAAACAATACAATTTTCAGAAAATTAAATATCAACGTGCTACAATGAAGTCTTTACCTGCACCATCTCCTCATCATCATCTGCAACTCTTGGAAGGCTTTCCTTTGAAAGTATACGAATACTAGCTTTGGTAGTTCTCCTCATCTCATTAACTATGGCTCCTCCTTTCCCAATAAGGGAACCGATCCGAGATGATGGCACAAGTAAACAAGTTGTGAATGAAATAAGACCTGAATCTCTTTCAACTCTCTCACTGCACCTGGGTTGCAAGCGCAATGCTGCATCAATAGTTGGAGAGAATGTGTCCTCAAATACCTGATATAGCATGTGATAATATCATTAAAAACATGATACATTATACCAAATCCTGTCACAATATGCTCACAAAAACCAAATCATGAAACAGATAAATGTTTACCTCCTTCGCTGAAATAGATATTATGCAATCATCTCCCTCTGCAGCTGAACTATCAACTTTGATAACAGCCCCAGATTCCTGTCTGATTTGATTGATTATGGAACCACCCTTACCAATTACACCTCCAATATTTGAAGTAGGACACACCAAACGGAGAGAAAATTCCCTTGAAGATGCTTCATCCCGTGGAGCAGAGTAGAACGAGCGTGACCAGTCTCCACTGTCACGTTTGTATCCTCCATAAGGACCCATCAGAGGGGCCAATCCCATAATTGGGGGACCACCACTTGGACCCAGAAGTGCACCGCTGGAAGGATACACATTCGGTACAGCGGAAGCAAGTATGTGCTGGGATCGAGATGGATTGTCATGAAGACGACAAGCAATTTGATAAAGAGCCCTCCTCACTACTGAGGCTTCACCAGATATCTTAAGCCCACAAAGCGAGAAGTAAATAACAACTTTAAAATGTTAGCTTCATTCAGCTCAGACAGAACACCTCTATGAATGAAATTTTAAATCTAGTGATAAAAATCTAATGCATGTAAAATAGGGAAATCCAATCATCCAGAAGAAAAATACCATCACCAGATGAAATATGCAAAGAATTGAAAAAGAAAATGAACAATATATGTCTTCACAAGTGACAAGTTTCCTGCATGAGATGACCATGATCCAGGTAAAGAACTCAAACCACTTTCAAAATCTTCACATAAGGCATGTAAGGCTTGATTATTCTACCGATAGGCTGATTATCTCACACATACAAAAAAATAATAATAATGGCAAAAAGTAATCAATGAGATGTTGCTAACAAGAGAAACTGTTTGGAAAACCAAACAATAACCATGTGGATATTGTAGACAAGGAATATTAATTGTTTAAAAATTTGCCATTGCTTGCTACTGACACTTGCCATGAATTTCGGAAGAATCTGTAAAACCACAATCAACACAATGAAATCCGATATGTGAGTATAACAACAACAAAATGGAATTGGTCCAGATTACCTGCACAAGTTCATCAGAACTCAAAGCACAAGGAGGCAAGTGATCATCCTTCAGAATGCGAACCTGTGCACCAGTGTCACTGCGTATACTTTGAACTATCTGCCCACCTTTCCCAATAACACATCCAATCTGATCTGAGAGTACGAGAAGCCGAACTGTAACTTGTGGGGCTTCGTCAGAGTCATCAGCGGCCATGTCATCAGCAACAACTCTGTCATGCACCTTGAAAAGAGCATCCTCGGCCGGACAAATGGGATCATCAGTGTCATCAAAGACATTTGTTTCCTCATTAGAGCTGTAGATAGTGACAACCCGCTCCTCGCATCCCGGTACTGTCTCACCAATCTTAATATTTGACTTACTGTCTACCCTTAGTTGCTTAACAATGTCCCCTCCCCTCCCTATAATACTTCCAATCTTCTTTCCGGGGCACAAGTACCGGTATACAGTATCTTCTGGCCCGATAGACGAGGAATCTCTATCGTTGCCAGATTTTCTCCTTTTATTTCTTCCATTGTCAGGATAGTCAGACTGTGAATGTGAACGCTTTCCATAATTATCCCTCTGACCAGCCATTTAGCAAAATTGACTATATTATCTGTTTCTGATTCAAAAAATTCACAATAAAAGAGCAATATATGAGAAGCATCAAAAAGAAAAAGAGAAATAGTAATGGTAGCACAACAAACTAAGATCAGCATAAACTGATAACACGATGATTTAGATGTGTATACACCCCAAGTATTGATGTTTATCGAGTTTTCTAAACTTCCACCTCTAAAACTAAAAAAGTGAGAACAAACCAACAAAATAAATGTTCCAACAAAACAACAATAAATATATCAACATAAAACAACATAAGAATAAACGCATATGATGCAATCATTTCATTTTTTACCAGAGAAATTTACTATTTACTTTCATAACAAACCATTTCTCTATAAGCCAATTGTACTCCAACATAACCAACATGTAAAAAGACCAAAAACTCACCAGCTAATTGAGGATTAGTAACACTCAATGCAAGTTCTAATTTCCTAAGTTTTAAAGCACGCAACCAGCTCAAAACTTCAAGCACCAATTCTTAACACATAAAACCCTTGTTTTCTTTTCCTTTTTAAGGGCTCAGAAAAAATGGGTACAAGAAGTTTATCATCACTGATAAAATCAGAGTGGTGCATGACTTTCTTCAATCCTCATCATAGCCCTCTAACCTTACATATATAGACCAAAATCATCATGAAACCCATTATAGATACCTCAAAAATGCATTTTCATAAAAAAATATATAAACAAAATAGATGAGCTGTGCATGCATTGAGCAGGGCTTAACCTAATATATATAATTTTACAAAAAATAGTAAAAGGTACAATGGAATAATGAAAATTGCCAATATCAAAATCCATAGACACAGTTTGTTGAATAAAAAAAACCCCGTAGTTTATAAATTTCAGGCTTAAATAAACTACATTTTCATTGAACCAACTAAAGACACAATAGAATTTTCCTCGATTATTCCAAGCAATGAATTCTTCCGGGAAACTTTTTCGATAAAAAATAACAGAACAAAACGGATGGTTTAATTCTAATTCTATAACTAAACAGATGTATGATCGATACATAAAGACGGATCTGAAGAAATCACGCAATGTAAATCACTAAAACCTAAAGAAACGGAACAAAGAATTACATATATATGTCTTTCAATGTTGTATAGTAATGATGTGCAGAGAATAAACTGATGAATGAGACTGCGAAAAACGGTGCAATGTTAGAGAATTGGATTTGCATATACCTGAATAGGGTTGAAGAGATCTTCAGAATCGAAGCATAGAGAAAGAGAGATGGCAATAAAACACGGTCAATTGGGATTTGATTTCTAGGGCTTTGACCGGAATCTTCGTGCTAAAGTGGGTACCACCTTCAATATTACGCAGTGCGCGCGCTGTGCACCTGTTATTTATTTATTTTTATTTGGATTTTAGGGGTAAGTAGTTCATGGGCCTGTCCATCTGGTGTAAATTTATTACGTCAGCATTCTGGTGGGCCTCGAATCTCCATGTCAAGAACAATAAAATTACCTTTCAAAAAAAAAAAAAAAAAAAATTAAAATTAAAATTAAAAAGAACAATAAGAAAGAAGGTAGGATGGGCAATTTATGCTTTTTTGTTTTGTTTTGTTTTGTTTTATTTTATATTGTGAATAACATTTAAATAAATATAGTAATACAAGTTTTCACAATGTAAATGTATGAGGTTAACTAAAAAAATGTCCTCCAATGATAGCTTCCAGACATATAATAGTATGGCTACAAATAAGCCAAACCAAAATTTCATTTTATTCTCTCATTATTTTAAATGTGTAGGACTCGTTTGCTAATCGTTGCCACTTCATTACTATCGCCTACCATCACCACCGTATAGAATAGTGATTATCATTTTATTCTCTCATTATTTTATATTTATAACTAAACAATAAAATCAGACCATTCTATTTTGATTCCATTTCTAATTTTATTTTGTTTAATTTAATTCTTGCATATCAAATTAGGTTTAAAGCTTCAATTAAAATGAAGATAAGTTGAGCTAATAGAATTTGAATCCCCCTTGTTGAAAGTGTTCCACATGATCCTTGACTAAAAACTAAAGCGATTTGAAACATCGAAAAGGCTAAATTCTTTTTTTTTTTTTTAGGCTGACATCGGAACTCACATGAGCAAGGCCCTTCAGAACTCACCCCAAATTACAAATCGGGGATATTGTCGACGACCTCACACCTTAGCAACAATTTCAGTGGAAGGTTACAACCGCCATGGACGGATTCGAACCTGAAACATGAGCGTTTTCAGATTGTTACTTTATCAACTCGGTCAAGCCCTTGCGTTTACAATATCACATTAATAAGTTAAGGGTACATATTTATTCATCAAAGAGAGACATTTAAAAAAAAAAAAAAAAATTTGGTACCGTAACATTTTAAGAATAATAATTTTAATTAAACGCATTTTGGTCAGCACTCAGCACATCCATTATTACGATGGTAAGTAAAAAATATATTTTACCTGATTTAAAAGCAAGAAAATATTTTAACACTCATAAATAGCCCGTGACGTTATTTATTTGTTATATCATATCACCACCTTAACCAGAATCCCAAAAGCATAGACGAGATACAACCCCGCAAAAACCCAATTCTCTGATTTCTCTCCCAATAATCGCCATATCACTAATTTCAATAAACCCTAAATTCACAACCTTCATTTTACATCGGTCTCGATTCGAAACTCAGAACCCTAAATCTTAATCGAAACCCTAATCGGCAGATGTCGACTTCGGGGCAACCTCAGTTCCGGTACACGCAGACGCCGTCGAAGGTCCTCCACCTGCGAAACCTGCCATGGGAGTGCGCCGAAGAAGAGCTCGTCGAGCTCTGCAAGCCCTTCGGTAAGATCATTAACACCAAGTGCAATGTCGGTGCCAATCGCAACCAGGCCTTCGTCGAATTTGTGAGTTATTGTTTTATGATTTTTGTACACAATTTCAATTTAATTTGATAAATAAGGGTTTTGTTTTGTCGTAAATATGATGAATGTTTAAATGTGTTGCGTTGTTAGTGGGATTTGTATGATAATATAGAAGGATTAATATTCTGGTGATGGATTGATTTCAATACGTTACCAAAAGCCCTTTCCGCCATGTCACAGTGCTTTGAATTGAATTTCACGTCCAAATACAAGTAAAAAAAAAAAAAACAACAACAACAACAACAACAATAAAGATTTAATCGGACGAATGTTAACTATGAATTAGGTTTGTTATTGTTTGGCAAAGTAACCTAGAAGTATATAAGATTGAAAAAACCATAAAGCATAACCATAAGATGATTTACAAAATAAACCACAATCCAATTCATTACCCCGAAGGTTGAATAGAGGGAAAGAGAACTCAAAGAGAACGCAACCAGAACAATATCATTGCAGGTTCGAAGCAATAGAAGTGAAGAATTAGCTGCTGAGAATTGACTCTGGTGTGTTTTATTTGTGCTGCAAGCATCTACGAGTCCGAAGCAGAGGGATCTGAGTCTACTCAAAGTTGGTCTTTTTGTGACAGTAATTGTATGGAGTGATACGAGACAAAAGATGGGCGGTAGCATTAAGTGATAGACTTACAATGTGTAAAATATTCACTGGACTACAAGTAATACCGTAATGTAGTGGACATGGAGTATGTACAACATTCATGGGATTATCTAAATATTGGTGACATTTGTTGGGTCCTATATGAATTTTTAGCACATTAATGATTTCTCCTTGTATAACTTGGACATGTTTCTCTTTATGTGGTGTGACTTGGGAGCCCATGAGATGTCAATCTTTCTGACCACAACATTCCTTTAAATTGTGTGTCTCACTTAGCTATCCGTCTGGTGGACTTGAACCGTTTAGTGTATAGCTCTGTAAGTTTCCCTATGCTTTTGTTCTAAAAGCATGTTTTTGCATGAAATAATACTTTTAGTGGTAATTAGATTGTCTAGGAAGTTACTTTGCTCTATCCGCTTGACATGACATACATATTATTTTCCCTGATTCTTAATGTTGACAAAAGCATATTTGTTTGTTTTAAACAGGCAGACCTTAATCAGGCAATTAATATGGTGACATATTATGCTTCATCGTCAGAGCCTGCATCAGTTCGTGGTAAAACTGTATATATCCAATATTCGAATAGACATGAAATCGTCAATAACAAGAGTCCAGGAGATGTTCCGGGAAATGTCTTGCTTGTAACCATTGAGGGTGTGGAAGCTGGTGATGTCAGCATTGATGTCATTCACTTGGTAAGTCCTTTCCGACCACAACTTTATTCTTATCCGATGTGACGAATCATTGTATTTTGTTGCTGATCCAAGTTTGTAAAAGCTCTAAATGTGGAGTAGTTTTCCTTTCTTCATACGTAAATTTTTATTATGACTGGATATCGACTCTTCGTTAGCAGTTGACACATCTTTCATGGCATCATGATCAAGCCATATTTTTCCTGAAAATTCCCATTTACTTCAATGCACTAGGGAACTATCTTGAATTGTTTCTGAAGAAGTTGTATGTGGTGTCCCATGCTTAATTTGTAGTTACTTTTGTGTGCAGTGATTAATATCAAGTTGTGACCGTAACATCACATGATGCTTTTTTGTGGTGTCGGTTTGTTTTGGACATCAAAATTGTTTATTGATTATGTCAAAATGTATGTTGCTAATACTCATGTCTTCCACTGATGCAATGATGTGATTCTATACCATAGGTTCTAACTTCTAACCTTTTTTCTGTGTTGAATTGGGGAATTTAGGGTAGTATTTTAGGCTCGCAACAAGTTGGATCAATTTTTTTTTATTGTCTTAATTCTTCCTTAGAAATAGCGCCCTGATTAAATTATGCATCAATTTTGATTGAAATCGGTTGAATCACAGACGATGATGGTTCTTATGTAAATTCTGTTGTTGGAGACTGTCTGGATATATTATCATGTGCATCATACTCCTTTCTTCACGCTTACTTATACAGGTGTCATTCTGTACTTATTCTGGTCCGTTGATATTTTTTCCTTTCTTGTTCCATTGTAAAATATTTGGGATGTTTGTTATTGCATACCATTTTTTTTAGTTGACCTTTTCTGCTGCTATATGCTCAACTATGATTCAAATTTGGCGTAGGTTTTCTCGGCTTTTGGCTTTGTGCACAAGATTGCTACTTTTGAGAAGGCTGCTGGATTTCAGGTAAGATGTTGAAAGCTGAATTTGGACTTTTTTGCAACTCTATCTGTATCTCTATACTTACCTCAATTTTGCTTGCTTGGACATCTTGGCAGGCATTGATCCAATTCAGTGATTCTGTCACTGCATCTTCAGCAAGGGAGTCATTGGATGGAAGAAGCATACCCAGGTTTGCACCTTTCTCTCTCTCTCTCTCCCCCTTTCTCTTACCCATTTATGTTTCAATTCTGAGTTTATCTTATACTCATGCCTTCCACTTCTGAGTTGCCAAGTATGGAATAGTGGCATTTCTCACTTTGGTGAATATGTGGTTGTAATGTCCAGGTACTTGCTTCCAGATCATGTTGCTTCATGCCACTTGCGTATCTCGTACTCCGCACACACAGATCTGAACATTAAATTTCAATCTCATCGGAGCAGGTAATAGGGAGTTGGCAGGTTATTACAATTTTTTTCTCTGTTATTCTGTAATTGATGACAATCCAATGCTTCATTCTTTCATCATTGTTTGTATGCTTTTGACTTGGCAAATAAGGTCTTGCTAATTGATGTGTGTGCTTTTTGTCATTTAGGGGTTAGTGAAGCTCGGCAGCTAGAACACAGATGTGTTTTTCATGGCCTCTTAGTAATTTTCTTCATCTTATTGTAGTAATTTAATTCATACTTATTCTTTAAACGAGTGAACATGTTAGAGTTCATTAGTCAATATTTGGGAATATGTTGAATGAAGCAATGGTCTTTCATGTCTTGCATATTTATATATCTTGGATTACCGCAAATTCCGAAAAAAAATTCTACAGAGCAGATATTGTACAATTATGTTGTAGACACTCCACTTTTTTTTTTTGGTGTTGGGGGTGGTAACTGGGGCAGTTCTAATTGCTTCAAAATAAATTGGTTATGTGGAGCTCCCATATCTTTGCCTTTAATAAATTTGCTTATGGAGTATACAATCCGTTTTGCCAATGTCAAGAAAGACCCATCTCTGGTTCTCTTGTTCCCAATCAGCACTAGTATCTGTGATCCTCTATGGCAAAAGGAAGTATAATGTGATTTGCAGTTGCCTCTAAAATTTCAAGTCAATCCAGTTGACTGCAAATGCCACGGAGAATGTTGTGGAACTAGTATTATATATATATATATATATATTTGTGAACCATGTAAGTGGAGTGTCATCTGAATGGAGAAATCTGTGAAATTGTCAATATGCAGCTGCGATTTGTTATATGTGTTTCTATTTTCAAATTTTTAATTTGCTGAAGTTCAGTATGTAGGTGTTCCGATAGTTATTTATTCCATCTTGAATGCCTTCCTGACTTTGTCAATAGATTTAATCCATATTGCCTTTTCGGCTTTTCCACTTTGTTTATCTTGTCAATTTTTTACCTAGCAAAACAAAGTGATGAGTTGATCCGATCTCTTCCATTTTACCGCTTCAGGCAAATTATAACCCATAATGTGACTATACTTATCAAAAAAAAAAAAAAAAAAACCCCATAATGTGACTATATTTTTTACTTATAAAATAAAAATAAAAATAATGTGACTATATTTTGATAATGCATCAGTTTGTTAGGTCTAGCTCCTTTTCTATCTAGTTCCATATTCTCCTGAATTTGGTAATTGTGCCGTAAGGATTACCCAAAAAAGCACTTTTCCCATGGTTTCATTATACCTACAACAGACCTGATCTTCTCTTGATCCATCTAAATCACACCCTTGCTGATCCAATGTCCAAGATTCTTCAACATCAGTCGGTTTGGACTTCCATGCAAAGATGCTCCTCTGAAGCTGGACCAAGGAATTGTCCACTTCTCAGTGCACTTGCAGGGGTTGCTCACACACTCATAAACGGATACTACTTAGTGCAAGAATGATTCTATTTGGATATATTCTAAAGTTTTCACGTCACCTTTACCATTTGCCATTTAACGGAAGCAATCCTTTAGTGGCCATACCGAACGGGATCAAAGTCAAGGGAAAGTTTATTGGCAACAGGGGACCGTTTCTCACCAGCCCTACCTGCCCTCCCCCAAGAGAAACCAGGAGTTAGCAACCTCTCCTCTGCCCATGGGTCTGGTGAAGAAGTTTGGGGAATTGGCACCCCTCAATATAAAAGCGAGTCTTCCAGCTTAGGTAGCCAGTCTTTACTTAATTCGGCCGCAGCAATGCCCCAAGATTCCCATGCCTTCCATTTTATTTAAATGTCTCACTCTGTTGTCAAATGTGATTTGCATCTCAACTCTCTCTTTGCAGATTTAAATTCTCTCACTTCGTAATGTTTCATTAATATCTAACCTAGGAGTCAACAAACTGCCCCAGTTTCCTTCTTTTTGTGATACTCTCTTGAAACATATAATCTTTATGTGAATAACTGTGACATTCATTGCATTTGTATATGCCTTCTGATTATATTAGCTTTTTTATTATTATTTTTTTCATATCTTCTTATTGAGATTAATTTTGTTCGTGTTCATTAATAATGTTGTCAATAACGATCACCAGAACATTTGTATTTTTTCCGATTCATCCTACAGGGACTACACGAATCCATATCTTCCTGTAAATCCTACCGCGATGGAGGGATTTGTTCAGGTATGTATTTGTTATTGAACATCCATTGTATTTTTTAGTTGTTAGCAAGCACTAACCAACAGTAATATCCAGCCTGCTGTAGGTCCTGATGGAAAGAAAAAAGAATTTGAGAGCAACGTGCTTCTTGCATCAATTGAGAATATGCACTATGCTGTCACAGTAGATGTTCTCCACACGGTAATTTAACTTATAATTTCCTCACAAATTATTTTCCATTGGTAGAATTCTATTCATAAAATGGGTTTTTATATACAGGTATTCTGTGCATTTGGTAATGTTCAGAAAATTGCCATATTTGAGAAGAATGGTGGAACACAGGCCCTAATTCAGTATCCTGGTAGGTCCCTCCCTTGAGTCCCTTCTGAAAAAGTTCTTTTTTATTATTTTATTATTTATTTATTTATTGATGTGCCCTTATCTTTGTAAAAGACAATAATATATTATCTTTACTTTCTCAGTTTCTACTTCCTCTCCCTGAAACACCTGCCGAAATTCTGGTTTAGGGACTACTCATCTTAGTTAGGACACATTCTTCTTTGGAGCTTGCAGTGTCCTGATTTTGATCTGTGGATGTTTAGGTCTTGCATGCAGGGGACTAATTTGCGTTACTAGCTTCCTTGGTTTCTTGCCCTTTATTCTCTCTCTCTGTGTCTCTCTCTCTCTCTCTCTCTCTCTCTCAATTGCCCTTTATTCTCTTTCTCACAATAGTTTTTGGTTTTAAACCTTAAGAACCTTTTAAGCAATTAGATACTTTTCAGAGTATTCGCTTGCTTATATGTAATGGAAAATGTACTTGTTTGATTCTGAAATTAATGTGATTTTTGATTTTAGTGTCAATCCACGTATGAATAAATAAATATTTCTTCAAGAACCATAACTAATTCTCTTTCAGTCATTCGACTCATTATCACAATCTGTAGTGACTAGTGAATTGGACACGTATAAATTTAAATAGAAATTTCAAAGACATGAATATGTCACCTATTCACCTGGCTTGTTATTCCTTGCTATGTCTGGGATATCTAATCACCTCATTTTTTTTGCTCTCTCTCAGCATAAAGGTTGGGAGGATTTTATTTTCTATAATTTGCATTAGTTGTTGCAGCAACTGATGGAGGATAAAGTTTCCATATTCATACATAACTCAAAAGTTACCAGTCCTCATTTTTTTGGTTGTGATTATTTCATTAACAGTTAATTTTCTCGGGATCATATGTCCTGCTTTTGTCTTCCACGTGATTTCCTCCCATCAAACTTTTATTTTTCCTTGGTTTGAACACTCAACCTCCCCTTTGGGGAGGAGAGATCATACCAGCTACATTAATTAATGCCCATTGGTAATTTTGGCGTCATTGTTCATAACTAATTTATTCCACCTTTGAGTTATTTCTTAATTAGGAACTATTTGAATTAGTATTGCATATTATGCCTCTCCTATGTTGTTTGGTAAAACTGAAAATTGAGTACTGAATTTTAAGAGCTGAATTTTAAGTCCTTAAATTTAAAGTGCTAATTTAAAGTTGAGAATTTTTTTGATGATTTTTTGAATTTTAATTGTTCTTCGGGTCTCCTTATATCTAAATTGCGTTATCAAACACACAACTTACTCAAAAATTAAGTGCTGAATTAAGTTATCAAAAAATGATGTTCCTATTTTATATGCATGTGGGGAGTTCCTGTTGTAGACTATTTGGTAGTTCCTTCAGACTGATTTACAAGTTATTATATTTCCAGATGTCACAACTGCAGCGGTTGCTAAAGATGCTTTAGAGGGACATTGCATATATGATGGTGGCTATTGTAAGCTTCATCTATCATACTCTCGTCATACTGATCTCAATGTAAAGGTATTAAAATGTGCTTTTGAGTTGATGTTCATAAAAGAAAATATTTAAGAGGATAAATGCAAAGAAATCCTTACAAGAAATTTGGTTCCGTTGTTGGAAAAAAAAAAAAAAAGATTTGGCCTTTAATGTATGCTTCTTGACACTCATTTCAACTCTTTGGTTTTAATGTGCTTGGAAATCTCCTTCCATGAATATGATTAGTTACATATATGGTTCTAGGCTTACAGCGACAAAAGTAGAGATTACACAATCCCAGAATCAGGGTTGGTTGCAATTCAACAAGCTTCCGGCCTGCCTGCTGGGACACCAGTTTGGCAGAATGCTCAGGGTGCTCAAATGTTTCCTGGGAGCGAGTTTGGTGCTGCGCAAGCTCAAGCTCCGGTGTCACAAGTGTCCTCATGGGGTCCAACCTTGCAAGCTGGCAGACCAACTTATGTTTCGGCTCCGGGCACATTTCCTGCTCAGACATACGCTCCGTCCTCCGTTCCTGGTTATGTCAGTGCAGCAGCTCCTGGTGTTACTCAACCCCTTATGCAAGGCAACCCAACTAATCATAGTGTGCCCTCCATAAGAGTGTCTCAGCCTGCACATCACCAAAATGCGCGACCTGGTGGTGCTTCACCTCCTGGTCATCCTTCTTACTATGGTTAGCAGTATCAGCTCCTCTCCTAAAATACTTTACTTTTCCGCATTGACTGTTTTTTGTTTGTCTAGTGCAACAAAATCTTTTGTATCTTAATTTGACTTGCAGTTAAATCCTCTCCAGTTCAGTTCTTGGTGGTACCAAATTTTCAAATGCAGCATTGGAAATTATGATCTTTAGTAGACGGTATAGCACTAAATTTTTGGATGTCAAGCATTCTAGACACTGATTTTATAAATGACTGATTTCATAAATGAAAATTTAGTAATTCGTAAATGACTAGACCTATGTAAACCTCCTTTTGGTAGCATGGAATAAAACGTGATGTTTTGAAAATGCTAGTATGAACAAGGAGTCTAAACTCCCACGAGTCACAGGTTTTAAGAATTTGAACGCTATTTTTAGCAAATAAACAAACCCTTGTTTTATCAATTGGGCCATATAGCCAAATTACTCGGACGGGCACATGCAGCTCCCTGTCTCACATGTATTAGATAATTATCCCAACCTCTAAGTAACGAGGTCAAAGCTTGATCCTCGCCCTTCAATTTGAGGGCGGGGATCTTACCACCCACCCGGGCAGGGCCAGGTGGTAACCCGACATTGCATCGTTACCAATGACTATTACCATAGAGTTAAAAGTAAGTTGAGAGGGGTCCATATGGATTGTCCCTAAACTTGCAATGTTTTTAACAATGACTGATCCAATTGGGGATGGCCCTTGTGAGGTGAGTGTCTTCCTCACCGGTATGCTTAAAAAAGAAGAAGCTTGAAATGAAAACTCAATTGGATTGATTGTCCCACATGTCTCACATCACAAACACAGTGCTTTCAGAGGTGTCCAAGTCTTCCTCTGTAGCCATGTGATCACCATGTGTTGGCTGGCACTGAAATGTACTTTTAACTCACCAAGCCAAACTCATCAGCCCCTACGAAGTGTCCACATTGTTACCATCACCAACCAATCAGTTTCAACGCCACTCATCCGTTTCTCTTCGTTTTTTTCCCTTTTGAGTTCTCTGTGTCTACACACACACACACACACACATATGTATATCTACAAAAGTGAGCAAGAAACTTATTCATACATCGAGCAACTTCTTTTTGTATTCAACATGATAATTTGGACTTACATATATCAAACACCTTAAAAATTCACACGTACCATTTGCCGCAAGTGGGTTTTCATTAAGATTTCAATCAAGCAATCATCTAAAACAGATAAATCAAAACACGCAGGAGACATATGTACCATTTGTTATTTCCTTCAAAACATAATAGAAGTACACACACCTCAGAAAGTGTAAGAAACAAAGAAGATCTCTAGGATTCGATTGTGTCACTTGTAGACAAACAGAGTGAAATCATTTAAAAATCACTAAATTTACTACATACCCTCCGCAAAAAATGGCAATTTTTTAATTGGTTGATTTTGGTTGCTTTTTCTTCTTCTTCAATGCGTTATTACTCACAATCATAATCACCAGTGCACATCAGAAGTGGTCTAAAGCTGGATTCATTTATTCACTTGTGATGCTCAAACTCAATTTTACTTCTGGCAATGTCATGCTCAACAAGTCTGTATCAATAGATGTCACTTTTGCGGTGAAATTTATTATTTTCAAGTTAGTGCACAAGTCTATCTCAAGTTTGAGAAGGATCAGATGCATGTAACCTTGTTTTCACGAAAATGACAAATTTATTCTATTGATTCCTAACTTAGTGACAAATATATAAATTTGAATCCTCTACTATGTTCACTGTTGTCTTTTGATATACAACACGGTATTGTTACAGTTTAAGATCTGTGCTCCTAATATATATATATATATATATATATATATAAAAGATTTTAAGACATATACAGTATATTGAATTCTCTTGCATGTAATCTTATTTTCAGGAAAATGACAAATTTATTCTATCGGTTCCTAACTTAGTGACAAATATATATTTGAATCCTCTACTATGTTTATTGTTGTCTTTTAATGTACAGCACGGTATTGTTACACTTTAAGATCTGTGCTCCTAATATATATATATATATAAGATTTTAAGACATATACAGTGTATTGAATTCTCTTGACCCTATATGTAACATGGATAGGAGAGTAGAGAGGTCCCAAGTACCCTCAATTTCTTCTTTTTGGGACTTTTAATTATGAACGGTCATAACCTAAGAGCCTACTTAAACGTCTACGTGTCCTTTTGGTAGCTGTCACATTTATGGTTGATGGTCCACATTGTTAGCGATGACCAAGAATATTTCTCCCGCATATCTATCGATTCTTTGATTTAACTCTGCAACCACTAGCTATCACCTTAGGAGGTGTTTATGGATGCTGGTTGGTGCCCTAACCACACCTAGTTGGCCTTGTCTTATAAAGTTTACTAGGATGTATCTTTATGCTTGTGTCTTGACAACTACTCTCACAATATTTTTGGGAATTCTCTAACTTTCTATCTTTTACCTTAAAAAGAAGAAGAGAAATTACGAGCCTCTATGATTTACTTTTCTAAAATTAATTCTCAACGACTAAGAAAATCGATATAGTTTTAGAATAATCACTTTTACTATGTCACCTGTGCCACTAATCAACTGTATCTTGTCACACGAGTAATGCAGAATAGTCACTTTTTTATCATGTCACCGATGCCACCAACCAACTATATCTTATCTCACAGGAGTAATACATCTCGTTAAGTAAAACTATAACTACATGTCAGCATTTAATTATCCGATAATACATCAGTGTCACTTAAGGCATGCATGCCCTCCCCTGAACTTTTGGGAATACTCTAACTCTCTACCTTTTACCTTAAAAATAAGATGAGATATTACAAGTTTGTAAGATTTGCTTTTCTAAAAATAGCTCTCAATGACTTAAGAAAACATATGTGGTTTATAAAAGATAATTATCTAAAAATAAGTTTTTTATAATAATTATTTTTTTAAAACCGAGTTTTTTGAAAATAGTTTTTAGAAACTTAATCAAGTAGGTTTTTGTACAGTTTTTAAATTTTAAATATTAAAAAAAAAATTAAAAACTATTTTTAAAAAACTGAATCAAGAAGGCCCTATGTTGCCGGTGTCATCGTAACATGAATAATGCACTAATTTGAAGGAGTGCTATCATTACGTGTCAACACTTAATTATTTGTTCTCCTGACCTATGAGGGTGAAAAAACTAGTCTGGTTACATGATGAACTATGGTTAGGAAGAGAAGTTTGTGTATTTTGCTTTCTCACAAGCACATGCAGGCCAAAATGCATGCCACAACCATGTTGTATGATACCGAGGCTCTTAAGTCATGCAAGACACAATAATTTGAGTTTTAAAATAATCACTTTTTACCATATCACGGGTACCACCAAATAATTATATCTCGCCACACGAATAACGCATTTGGTTAAATAAAATTATAATTACATATCAACATTTAATTATCCGATAATATCACGTTATCGGTGTCACTTAAGGCATGCATGCTTATCTCCTGAACTATAAGGGTGAAATTTTTTGTTTGGTTACAAGATTGAAGGATTGTTAGGAAGAGAAGTTTTATAGTCCGTATGTTTTTGCTTTCTCACAAGCACATGTAGGCCAAAATGCATGTCACAGACTGAGACATGTGCCAACATGCAATCGAACTGTTGCTACGATGGTACTTTCCCTATAGCCTTTAGGAGCTACATATATATATATGGTTTGATGCCCATGTCAGGCCAGAAGCTTTAAAAGCCATGGCACTGTGTGCACTGTCACTTTCCATTGTGTGTGACCAATTATTGGTGCAAACTCTTCATCTTTGTATGCAGAAGCTGCCAAGTTCGTTTGGCAGTTAATGTTGAATGGTCTGTTGTACAATGAGAATTCCTCAGATAAAAAGTCTGGTTCTGAGGCTCTGAGTCACGAAAAACTTCTATTCATTCATTTATTTTTTACCCATTCAAATTAATACAAAAAATCATATGATATAAAATTAATAATAATAATACTTAGAAATAGACATATATACCCTACCCCAGTATTTGATTGTAGACAGGATATGATTTAGGCATGAGCCCAGTCACTGCCTGTACCATAACAGTTTGAAGTGTCACTTTCTTTATTTATTTCAGATTTATGGATGATACAACTCATGCGATATGCTTGTTTGTTATAGATTTGATATCTTTTTTGTATATCACACATTGTGTATCTATAGATGCATAGACTCATGGTTGATTAAAATTTTAGTAGGAAACATTTAAAATGGAGAGTATTCCACAATCTTATTATTCTGCAAGAAATCACATCAAAAAAAAAACTGCAAAAGTGGTAATTTGAAATTACAATAAACATGGCTAGTGAATTTTATGTTTAAATGATAGAAAAATAATGAGAGATGATGTCACGCTGTCTTTAATATAATTTGGGAAGAGTAATGTTAGGGTTCTTCAAAACTAGAAGATCGACTTTATTTCAAATCATCCAATAGCTATAAAATGAATTGAAATGGGCTACCTTAAAATATCTAGTGACGGTTGAATATTTCGAAATTGATTCTGGAAATGTTGAAATTGATTGGTCGAATTTTATAATACAATTACTTTGCATCTCAAGAATTCAGTTGTTGTTATTATTATTATTAATTTTTTTTTTTTTTCATTTGCTAAATAAGAAAAAGAAGCAAATTTTAAGAAAGGAAAAAGAATAAAGAAAAAACAAAACTGCAAACCTTAAATAGGACCATTATCCAAAACCAGTGGGGTTATAAGTGGATAATTTAATCAAATATAAAAGTGTCTTCAAAAGTCCCAAAAGCTAAGTGTATTAGTAGAATATTTACAAGATTTTAATGGCCATTGTCCACTTGGATTGCTTTGTGTGGGATCTGGATCTTTTGATTTCATACTGTGTGCATGTCAAACGTTGTCATTTTAATTATTGGACAAACTCTGTTTCATCAATGTTTTTAAATTATTATTATTTTAATTATCTCAAATTTTATTTCTCTTCTCTTATTGTTCCCATTTAGATCTACAAAGACAAGTCAATTTTACATTGTAATAGTTGTTGCATTTTGAATGCGACGGTGTTTCTGTTTTTTATGTAAGGATGTCGTATTGATGTATGAAATAAAGATTTTACGCATTCGTTGTAAAATTATTATGTGCATGCAGTACGAAAGGAGTAAT